ACGACCCCTCGGCAACCAACCGCCCCGCTTGGGGTGGGGGGGGAACACACACGGGCGTGGGGACACCCCAGTTGTCCCAGCGGGCTGGCGGTGGGAGGTGCCAGCTCCCCTCCCCACTCCCATCACGGGCAGTCCCTGGGGCTCAGGAGGCCCCAACACTCCTGGGGTACCATGGCTAAGGGTGGGGGTCACAATTTAGGGCTAACGGGGGGGGTGGTTTACGCAACAACCCCTTCGTACGTTGCGTATTTGAGGGTTGAGCCTCACCCTAAGTATATTTAGGAGGTGCTATTTTTTTAAATCCCGAGAGACTGGTCACTGGCACCGCTAAAAGGGGATGGATGTGTCCCCCCTGTGATGCCCAGTCCCCTCCCCAACCCCATGGGGAGAAGGGGCAAGGGAGGGACCTGCTCGGCATCACCCCAAGGAGCCAGGATGATGCGTGGAAGTTCCACAAAGTAATTCCCCCACATCTCAGAGCGGGGCTGAGGTGGGCACAAGCCACCTGGACAAGGGACCACTCTTGGGGTGCTGTAAGGCAACGGTCCTGCCCTGGAAGGGGCTGGTGACGCCCTTCCCACTGCCAAAACGGAGCCCTGTTAAACTTTGGAAGGTTTGGAGCTGGTTTAAGATTACTTTCTTCATGCACTGGATTGGGACAGGGACACTCGGGTGGCATCCAAGAAGCTGCGACTCCCCCGCAGAGGGTCACCTCCATCATTCCTATGACAGCCCCGCACCTGGGAAAACACTCAAACCACAGAGATCTGCTGAAAACAGGTACCACCCTCTTTGCATCCTCGCGAAGCCGAAGGCTCCAGGGATGGGGGTTATGGTGGCCCCCCCCTCCCCGGGGTTTACGGGGCGGCTGGGGCTAGAGGACGTGGTGCAGGGGAGACGGCTGCCGGCATGACGTGCGGTGCGAGTCGAGACGGGTGCAGGGAGGGCTCCTGGTGCTGCCTTGAAATACCAGAGGCATCACATGTGAATTCAGCAGCTCTCGACCTGATTTTTGTTTAAATTTTAGCCTGCTTAGCCAAATTATTGAAAGGAGGAGGAAAAAAAATACCAAACCAACACAACTCAGTGCTGCCGTGCCCCATGTCAGCAGGCAGGGTGGGTGTTTTTACTTGTTGGGTCTTTTGTCGCATAACTTCAGAGTTTACGGAAATTAAATGGCTTTTTATTCCCACTTTGGGGTTGTCGTCTCTAAATGGTCACGCGGAGTCATCCCAGCGGGGTGGGGGGTAGCAAAAAGGGGGACCTCCGTGTGGTTGTGTGTCCTCTGGATGTGATCTCCGTCATGTTTCCCACCTCTCCGTTAACGCAGCAGGTCCAGGGAGGCACCTGAGTTGCTGCAGCTTCTCCACAAATTGTTTTTCTGGGTATTTTTTTACTTTATAAGTAGGGTTAATTTGCTGATAAACGAGTCTGACAGGGAATTTAGGGAGCAGCAAGAAAAAAACCACCCCAACAACCACACAAAAAGTCAAATTTGGAGCTGAGCTTTCTCCTTTCAGATCATGACACTGCTGCAGAACCAACGTTGAGACGTTTTAAGAGCTTGGGATGTGGCTCGCTTCAAGCAGTAGGTTGTGAAATTAAAGGAATCCTTGGTGGTTTGGCAGAAATATCGCTGAGCTCAGCAGAAGGCACCAGGCTGGACGTCTTCGCATCTCCTGTAGGTCAGCCTGGGTGCACTCATGGCACTGTTAGGCCTGGTTCAGGAGGACATTGAGCCATTGAATGGTTTGGGTTGGAAGGGACCTTAAAGATCATCTAGTCCAACCCCCCTGCCATGGGCAGGGTAATCTTCCACTAGACCAGGCCCAGCCCCATCCAACCTGGCCTTGAATGCTTCGGAGGATGGAGCATCCACAGTTCTGGATAACCTGGTCCCATGTCTCACCACCCTCCTCGTGAAAAATTTCTTCCTTATGTCCAGTCTAAACCAGTTTAAAACCATTGCTATGTCTTTATCAGCCCCCTTTAAGGATTGAAGGGCTGCAAGAAGGTCTCCCCGGAGCCTTCTCTTCTCCAGGCTGAACACCCCCAACTCTCTCAGCCTGTCCTCACAGGGGAGCTGCTCCAGCCCCCTCAGCATCTTTGTGGCCTCCTCTGGACCCACTCGAGCTGTTCCTTGTCTTTCTTACGCTGGGGACCCCAGAGCTGGATGTGGTGCTTCAGGTGGGGGAGCAGAGCAGAGGGGGACAATCCCCTCCCTCGACCTGCTGGCCATGCTGCTTGGGATGCAGCCCGGGTTGCAGTTGGCTTTCTGGGCTGTGAGGGCACATCACCAGCTCACATCCAGCTTTTCATCCCCCGGCACTCCCAAGTCCTTTCTCCACAGGGCTCCTCTCCACCCCTTCACCCCTGAGCCTGTATCGATACTGGGGATTGCCCCGACCCAGCTGCAGGACCTTGCACTCAGCCTCACTGAACTTCATGAGGTTCACGTGGGTCCGTTCCTCCAGCCTGTCAAGGTCCCTCTGGATGGCCTTCCATCCCTCAAAGGCATCGATGGCACCACTCAGTGTGGTGTTATCTGCAAACTGAGAATGTGCTCCATCCCACCATTTATGTCATTGATGAAGATATTTAATACTATTTGTCCCAGTACGGACCCTTGAGGGACACCATTCATTACTAGTTTCCACATTGAGCCATTGACTCTAACTCTTTGGACACAGTGGTGGAGCCAGTTCCCAATTCATCCAACGGTCCATCCATCAAACCCACCTCTCTCTGATTTAGCAGCAAGAATGTTGTGTGGTACCATATAAAAGCCCTTACAGAAGTCTAGGTAGATGACAGCCATAGCTCTTCCCTTGTCCACCAGACAGTCTCTCCATCGTAGAAGGCCCCTACCTTTGTCAGGCACAGTTTGCCCTTGGCAAAGCCTTGTTGGCTGGCTCTTATCACCTCCCTGCCTTCCATACATTTTGACGTGCCTTCCAGGAGGAGCTGCTCCACGATCTCACTAGGCAGGACAAGATGCCTCTCCTGAAGGCAGGAGTAGTAGCAGAACGATGAAGGTCATCAGCATACCGGCTTTGGGGTTGAACGTGCTGCTTCTCTGAAAGACAACCTGAAAACCCAAAGCTCAGGAGCTTTTAGGAGGACACATGGAGATGGAGAATGGGCAGGGGCTGGGGTTGACCACATCACGGGTGGTGGAGCTGGATTTGGCCAAGGCTTTTTGGCCAGATACATCGCAGACTGGTGTGGAGGGCACAGAAGAGACGGAGACACCCAAGAATGAAATCAGAGGGCTGTGTATTTCGGAGAGAACAGCAGAGTCACCTTGTGGGGGGACCTGGGGACAGAGGAGGGGCTAAAAGCAGGCAGAAAAACAAAGGAGCTACCAGGTGGCTTGGAAACCTTGAGAAGCACTGCTTCCTTGCACCACGTAGGTGCCACAAGCCCCGTCCCTGGCTACACGGCGAAGCGTAGAGATGGGCAGGAGAGACGAGCAGGCTAGAGCTTCATCTCCAGCTTTCGCGCAGCTTTGCTCATTAATTAGGTGCCTCAAGAAGGCGCCCAGGGAGGTCATGGCTTGGCATGACCCGGCAGAACCGCAGGGCTGCGGCATGTCTCTTGGCTTGGTGCCACTGGCATCTGGTGTGATGCCATCCCTGGGGATGGGGGTCAAAGCCGCAGGAGCCGGAGGCTCAACATCCAGCTGTTTCACCAGCGACGTGTCGCCTGGAAAAAGCCTTTCATCTTCAAAGCGGTTCACGAATCATCACTAATTGCATCTGTGTGGGTGCTGGGAGGCAAAAGAAGCTTAATTAGGGCATGCAAAAGGCTCAGATCCTCTCCAGATAGGCAAGCTTGGAGTTTCGACTCCCTTGATGTGCAGCACCCCTGGGCCAAGAGCGGGTCTGGGCTTCCATCACACCTCATCGGCGGAGAAGGACCTGTCTGCAGGACCACGGGGCGATGCTGGTGCCTGGCTGGGGTGACAAGCGGAGGCTTTTCTCCAGCTGGTTGGCTTCTCACCCGTGGTTTTGGGATGTGGCTAAAGGCTCCGTGTCGGCGCATGCATCTCCAGAGCGGAGCAGAGGAGCAAGGCACCGAGCGCCCAGCTCGGCGTCGAGTTGGGAAAGCAAAGCCTTTCTCTGGGCTTGCCCCCAGAGCATCACCCTTGCCAGCTCCCCGCTTCTCAAGGTCCCTTGGCATCCTCACGGCTCCTGCGATGGTCCTTGCCTCCTGCCGCAGAGATGCGGATGCTCTGCCCAGCCCCAGTGAGCTCCACTTGGCATCACCCCGTCCCCAGAACCCCATCCCTGTCCCCTGTGCTGTGCCGGTGAGCGTAGAGCCAAGCGTGGCACTAGCTCCATCCGTGGTGGCCCAGAGACGCCGTGCTGGGTGCAGTAGCCCCCTCCCAGGACTGAAGAGCCAAGCCTGCCATCGTGCTGCCCATGTTTATTTGGTCCCAGCCCTGTAGAGGTAGCACATGGTGTGAACGTGGCTCCATGCCATCTCCCGCCCCCCAGCCAGGGTCTCCTGGGGGTGCCAGCGTCCCCCCTGCTCCCTGAAGGGGTTTGGTCTGGTCCTCATCCCCCTGTGGGGGACAGGACAGAAGGGCTCATGCCCACCCAGGCCGCTAGTCCTTGGCCAAGTCGCACGCCCGGTTGGTGGCCGCCTCCACGGCGTTCATGACGGTGGCCCGCAGCGCGCCCTTCTCCAGCTGGTGCAGCGCATGGATGGTGGTGCCCCCGGGGGTGCAGATGTCTTCTCGCAGCTTCGCCGGGTGTTCCCCAGTCTCCAGCATCATCTTCGCTGCACCCTACGAGAACCCAGCGTGGGTCAGAGAGAAGAGAACCTCCCAAACCTCCCCTCTCCTTGCCCAAGGATTGAATGGTTGCATCCTCCCATCCGTCCCACCGCCATGCCATTTGCTGTGTTCTGGTGGCCTCGTCTTCGGTTTCATGAGGGGAAACTGAGGCAGGAGGCCATTCAGCAACTCCTCACTTGCTCTGCCCCCCCCACCGCGTGCCACAGAGCCCAAGCCAGGTGGGAGCTCCAGGGTAGGAGGGAGAGGAGGGATGCTGGGTGTCCCTGAGCGACGGCACCGACTCACCAGCAGTGTCTGAGCCGCGATCCTGCTGGCTAAGCCGCCCGGCATGCCCATCTTCACCGCCCCCTCGGCCAAGGCTTCAGCAAACAGGTAGACCTGGGGGAGAAGAGCATCGGGGGTGAACGTGGCAAAAAAGGAGGGGGACCCCAACCCCGCACGGGCAGGATTTCTGCCGGCATCCCGTTGTCCTGCCGGTGAGCCCACCGAGCACAGGGGCTTACGTAGGCCACCCCGCTGCCGCTGAGGCCGGTGTGGATGTTGATGTAGGATTCGGGGACCTCTTCGCAGAGCCCGCAGGAGGACAGGAGGCTCTTCAGCAGGGCGGCTTCCCCATCACCGACACTGCTGCCCCGGGCGAAGACCATCGCCCCTGCCTGCACCACGCACGGCAGGTTGGGCATGAGCCGCAGCACCTTGGTCCCAGCGGGGAGAAGCTGGGGAGAGATGGGGATGGGAGAGAGGTGCCAGGTCTGGGCAGCACCCAAGGGTGCCCTGAGACACCGGTGGGTATCACCCATCAGCACTGGCCGAGAAGTGTGGTCCGTGGGGAAGGACCTGGGGATGGAACCCGGGTGGGGATAGAGCCACAGCGGTGTGACATTCTCCATGGGCCCGGGTGCAAATGGGAGGAGGAGGAGGAGAAGGACGAGGAGGAGGAGGACGAGGCAGCTTACCCGCTGTAGTGTCTGGAGGGGGACACCAGCCACCAGCGAGACAACAATGTGGTGGGGTCCCACGGCAGGACGGATCTCCTGCAGGACTCCCGGCAAGATGTGGGGTTTGGTGGCCAGGAAGACCAGGGTGCTCTCCTGCAGCACCTCCAGGTTGCAATGCATGGTCCGGCAGCCCGACTCCTGCCCACGGGCAGGGAGAGGTGTCACAGCCTGTCACCCCCCCACACCCCTGGCACCCAGCACCCCCATGGGCAAGGCACGTTTTCATAGAGGGACACACCTTGGGGACCCATTCTGGCTGCAAAGCCACCAAGGCTTCACCTTGATTTCAACCCAGACCTGGGAAGGATGAGCCAAAGCCCTGCGTGGGGAGCAGAGTGCCCCAAAATCATGGCAAGGGGCACCCCAACATGGCTCCCACAGCCACCGAGCAGGGTGGTTTGTCATCCCACATCCCCACTCACCCGCCAGGCGTCCAGGTTTTTGTCGGAGGGAGCGCTGGCCAAGATGCTGCTGGCTGGCACCTTCCCTTGGGGAACACGGGGACCGGGGTGAGCGGCCGGGGTGGCCCCAGGGTGGTGGGGACACCCCAGCACAGCCCGGGCACCCCGATGTCAGCTGGGACGTGCTTCTCTCCTCCAACCCCAGCATGATCAGTCTGGGGGACATGGAGGAAAGGGGACCAGGGCCGGATCCTGCCCATCCAGCATGAGCACCCCATGGGGACAACTGTGGGCACCCCGTTGTGCCATGGTGCAGTGACAAGGGAGGTGACCCCAAAAGCAGGGGCCATCTCCTGGCTTCGGAGTATGGGCAAGGCTGTCCCCACGCTGCGCTACGGGGCAGGGACAACCAGGGACACCCAGGGAGGAAGGACAGGGCTGTGCCCCCACTATCTGTGGGGCAAGGGACCCTGGGGAAGGGGACAGGACAGGGTTGTCCCCATGTCCCCACGTCACTCTATGGGACAGGGACCCCAGGGAGGGCAGGGACCCTGAGGAGGGGGACAGGACAGTGCTGTCCCCATGTCCCCGCACCGCTTTATGGGACAGCGACCCCAGGGAGGGCAGGGACCCTGGGGAGGGGGACAGGACAGGGCTGTCCCCATGTTCCCACACCACGCTATGGGGCAGAGACCCCGGGGAGGGCAGGGACCATGGGGAGGGGGAGAGGACAGGGCTGTCCCCACGTTCCCACACCACTCTGTGGGGCAGGGACCCAGGGGAGGGCAGGGACCCTGGGGAGGGGGACAGGACAGGCCTGTCCCCATGCGGCTCTATGGGACAGGGACCCCAGGGAGGGCAGGGACCCAGGGGACGGCAACAGGACAGGGCTGTCCCCATGTCCCCACGCCCCTTGGTGGGGCAGGGACCCAAGAGAGGGCAGGGACCATGGGGAGGGGGACAGGACAGGCCTGTCCCCATGCGGCTCTATGGGACAGGGACCCCAGGGAGGGCAGGGACCCAGGGGACGGCAACAGGATAGGGCTGTCCCCATGTCCCCACGCCACTCTATGGGACAGGGACCCAGAGGACGGGGGCAGGACAGGGCTGTTCCCATGTCCCCACGC